ATGATGTTGGAGCTACCACCAAGACAGACTGATGTCTGTCCACACTATCAAACAGTTCTCTCTGCCATTTATCAGGTTTGAAACCTTCAACTCTATTATCTGGCATACTTTCCGATTCCCTCTCTAAATCTGGACCCAGATGAAGCAGCTGAAAGTCAATCCAAGACATTTCAATGGAATAGGATTTATCAGAAGTACCCTTTGGAGGACCTGGTAAATTCCAGCATTGGGCAATTCTTTCCAGACCCATCTGCCACAAACAGTGTCCTAGGAGTTCAGAATCTTTATCATTCAATGCAATACCATCAAAATCCTTCAGTATCTCCCGGATAACTAGGAAGAGTTCCTTGGCATACTGAAGACTGTCGGAAATGACGCTAACTCTTCTGCGCTGATTTTTCCACATGCACCAAAGGATTCTCACTTTATAAATCAGTGTATTCCGTAACACTTCCTTTGTCTTCAGTCGTCTCTCCAACAGTTGCACTTCATTCAATGCTGCAGAATAATCATCCCTTTCTTTGTATCTTTTGTATTTCTCCTTGAAGAAATCTAACAATTTTCTGTCTGATTCCTCAGTCTTTGCTTGTTTTTTCCTACAATTATCTTCTATTATTTTTTGAGCATTCTTCCCAAGCTTCTTAGACTTAGAACTTTTCTTCTTATATGCATTTCCACTTTCACACACAATTGTCTTTGTACTGTGATATCTTCCTTCAATACTAGATCCATATATTGACATAAAATATGCATATCTACCTTTCGTCCTATGATGTTTCTTCAACTGGTATCGATCCATAGGTCGTTGCAGGTTATCATCACGTACATGGTCATATTGATCAGAGATCAGTCTTTTTGAATGCCAGTGATACTTCTCTTCAAAATTAGAATTTCTGGTAATATTGACACACGTGTCATTATCATCATCATTTTTCTTTATGTCTGGAACAAGATCTTTACAGAATTCAAAAGTCAGAAAACAATTTGTTGTCACTATATGCTTTAGATCATAACAGGCAGGTAGTGAAGTAGCAATTTTCAATGTGCTACTATTTTCCTCCTCCTCATTTGTCTTTTCACTAAATTCCATCCCCTGAATAGTCACAGGGAACTTCAACAGTGGTTTTTCTGTAAGTCTCACCACGTCCTGTAACAGCTTTTCATACGCAGCCAATGTTTGTGTACCCAAAAGAATTTCCTCACAAGCTCCATGCTCGATCACATAATTTACAACAAATGAAAACAGGTTTCCATGCCACAGATCAGACACAGTATTAAAATTGTAGTTTGCAGTCTGGCCAACACGAAGGACTTCCTGCAAAACACAATTCATGTGTCTATGAATATGTTCCAAAAAAACTGTAAATGTACTGGTGTGGGCTACAACTGAAGGGCAACCTCGGAACTTGAGAGGCAAAACTTCTAAGAGTGAGGAGTATAGCAGAAATGCACGCATCCAGTCTTCCCGAGGCTGCGGGGCAGAGGAGTCCTTCAGAAACTCTGCAGCCGCAGTCACTGTGACAACATGCCTTACATCGCTCTCACCTTCCACGGGGATGAGCGGTGATGCTACGGTCTCTAACGAAACGAGCGGAGGTTTGCATTTCTCTTCTATCGTTTGAATAATACTGTGCAGCAGCTTTCTTAACTTTCCATGCCCAAGTTTGGCTCCAGGTGGGAAAAAAAAAGCATTCAAAGTAGAAACAGTTAACCTCACATCATTCGTGTCAACGCAAGGTAAATATAAACCCACAAGAGAGTAGCAGATGCTGACGTGAAATAGCAGCTCTTGCACCACATGATCCTCATCGGGAAACAGTCCAGTATATGTATCCATCATTTCAGAGTCAGTCAACAAGAAAGCGCAGTTACGCTTTTCAAGTATGTTCCTGAAGTTTATGTCCCATATGCTGTCAAATTCATGGACTCTGAACAGCATGTTAAATCTCAGGTGAGTTATTAGGGCTGTCCTTGCTAGAAGAAGAGTATGTTTGCCAGACCAGGCTTGAGACCAAATATTAAAAAATATTATTTCAAAATTCCCACCCTTTCTGGAGAAGAGTTGTAAATACCGTTCGCATAAATAAATGAGATGCAGTAACTGTCCACCATTCTTTACATCATAGTTCACATCTCCCATAAGATGCAACAACAAAGAATCCCCATCCACAAAAAATATTGCCCCATTGGAGAACATGCTGGTAATGTCTTGGAATGAACCTTTCAGTAACTTGGCTGTCACTCTCTCAATAAGTATCAGCATTAATTCGAGTGCCTCATTCTCCTCGATTTCCTCTATTTCATTCAGGATCTTTAAAACCTGTAACAGTAAATTCATACTAATTTCAAACAGTGAGAATCGTGTAATATCTGTACAGATAAAATAGTTAAAATTAAAAGTTTTCTGGGAATTTTCCATCGTCTAATAAAATAATAAAATGAAATGGCATTTCAGAGATGGGACTCTATCTCCATCTTCAGGTATACCTACTCAGTTGGGCCCAATCGATAGAGATAATCCCTATCTCCGGATAAAATCCAACCATCGTGCAAGGCAAATTCTTCCTATATGCCAGATTTAAATACATTAGAGGTTAACTCTATATGTTACAACAAATTAAAGAATGTAAAACAAAATTTCTGTAATATATTTCTCCTATAGAATGTAATGCTACAAAATATGATGAATTCCTCTCGGGCTATACCAGCTGTGTCAGATGGTTTAATGGAGAAAACACCATTGTTTCGAGAACCAGCTTCGTCCTCACAATTCATTATACTTAATTGCAGTGAAAGCTTCAGATCATAATGTTACAACAAAAGCGTACACTATCCTCTCCTTCAAGCTCCTTCTTCAAGTTGTCAGGCTTCAGAGACTCAGAAACAGCCTCGATGTCATCTTCAGAATCAGAATCTGTCTCACATTCTTCAGAATCATCACTCTCTACATGTGAACTCGCCATAGCAATGATGCACCTACTAAGAGACGTAAGACATAAAAATGTAACAACTTTCTGTTCACAAAGATGGAACATAAAAATTGAAAGGTAAGATATTATGCAATGTTGCAACCTCCTAATAATAACTGCTTTTCACAGAGGACATAATTTGGAAGTTAAAACTAAAATTTTTCATTACTGCCGAGCTGTATCAGCTGGCATTCCGATATTTTAATATCGACACTGTCAGAAGGAATTGCAACATATGTTCACATATTGTTGCAGCTCGTCTCCACACTTCATCAGTCTTGGCCAGTAAAATGTCTAACCTGTTTCTCACTATCTATTACTTTCATAATTCTTCCAACATGTTCTTTCTTGAAGATTTCTATCTTCTGGGTTGTTGCGCTGTGTAGTCTGGCAGATGTTTACCAACGTTTCGGAAGTCATACTGCCTCCGTCATCAGGGTGATGAATATGACTACACAGCGCAACAACCCAGAAGACAGAAATCTTCATACTCACCGCTCATTTCACCACAGCCTACTAGACGAGACAGGGCAATGCATTTATTTAGAGAAAATAGCTTTCCAGTTTTATGTTAAAGGTTTAACCTGAGGCTACCATACTCGTCACCACGATAACAATAAGAACATTTCGCTGAAGGGTGTTTCTTTTATTCCAAAGTTTGCAAGTTCTCCCAGCCTCTTGTGAAATGTTCTGCCGGCCAGTTGCTACCGCACAGTGGAAGGGATGAGAACTTTGGCTAGTGACCCATCCCAATTTTCAATACAAAAATTTTCTTTGTACTGTAAGGCTTCACTTGCACTTTTGAGATGACTGTGTAGTGGTATTTTCAATTATTGGCAGTCTAATATCCAAAGAATGCTTCATTTTAGTTGGTAATTATGTTGCTGGGAACAATATTAAGTTACTTTACTTTTATTAGCGATTTTAGTGATTATGTTAGTAATAGTGAATAATGAATAAGATTGGCACACTCCTGCAAACTTCATTTTCCTCCTTAAGTTTAGAAGAAAAATTATAATAAAGCTTGGTAAGCATCAACCAAGAGGCTTTAAACTTTAGCAGAGTGGGAAGAATCAAAATAGGTCATTATCTTCTTGTTGGTTGATAAGAAAAGTTTGTTGCCTGTAAATGAGGAAAAGAAATCATTTTTCTGTTTCATGTTTTGTCTGGGGGAAATGTAATTGGACAGTAATAGGTATTAAAGATCTAAACAAATGAAATAACAAATAGTCTCCACTGTCCAAACTGAAAATTACAATTACATTGATAACATTATCACAGTTATGAACATATCCACCTTAGTCATACGAACAAATTGAGTCATTGTATTTGTATTTTATCCCCACGATCAAGCCATAAGCCCTGTTTTAAACTACACATAATGCCTTCTAAGACCAAGTAAACTAAAACACAGAGTATCCTTACTCACCTTGGTTAATACAACTATTGGACAGACCACCTGTATCTTGTAGACAAGCACAAACTGGCTACCACGCCTTTCCTCAGCAAACAATAATTGCCACGTTGTTTGGACGTGTAAGGGTGATAGCTTGGAATACGATTTGCGCACGTGCGCACGCGCATAATTTCCTTGTATGGAAAACAAACGTCCTGTACGCTCTTCTTCTTGGTTTCTTTGGTCTTTGTGCTTTCAAATATGCCTACAGTATGTTATAGTTCGTTGCATTATACATTGCTTCCATGACATTATAAGTTACAATTACAAAATCGTGATAATGAGTGACCGGACCACACCTTTAGGGAGTATCAACCAAGGCTGAAAACATAACACTAAAATTTACCCGAGTTTAGTCACAATTTTCCCTCTATGAGTGCAAAGAAAATAGGATCCGTATGGCGATTATGACGTTATTAACGAGCCATTGACCGATCAAGTTAGAAAAATTAAAGAATACCCTGTTGGTTAAACACTCTCAACTTTGTCTTTCCAGCAAAGAAACATATGACCACAGATGACGACACTACGGAAATACACGGCTGGTTACTTTGCTGTTCACTTTCTCAGCCCCCTGCCGTGCATTTCCGTAGTGTCGTCATCTGTGGTAAACATGGCGAATGTGGCCAGACTAAGTTTATGTACACGAACTCACAAACGTAACATTGTATAAACTGCATTTTCATTATTATCTATATGTGATTTAAATCCCCCGAGAATTGGATGTAAGTAATACATTTTCAGATTCTGGTTTTATCGGAGTTTAGAAAGCTTCCATTAAAGCACCCTAACCTAACTGTTTATAAATAACATTTGTAGTAGTAGGCCGAAAAGACGTCAGTGTCCATACTTCGTTAGTTGTAGGGCATACATAATATACCGATAGGTTAATATCCTTTACTTTTTACTTTTATTTGTAGTGCTGAATTTTGTAATTTGACAATCTCAATTTTGTGAGGTTAATGTTTTCTTATTCTAATTTTTTTACAGATTAAAATGGATAACAGTGAAATTATGTGTGTTGAAGTTCAAGAAAATGAAAATGGTGAAATAATTTATGTTGAGAAGGTGGAAGGTGATGAGTATGCTATGGATGACGATTTCTGTGTTGTTGAATGTGAAATTGCAACGTCTGGTGAGTACACAGAGTTTTCAAGTGACAATGATCATCCTCAAACATGCAGCCCTAATGAACCTGTTGAAATAATATTCTTGCGTAACTTTGATGGAGATGGGGATGGTTATCCAATTATAGTAAAAGAGGAAGTTAGGTCAGATGTTAGTGATATTGACGAGAATTTAGAAAGCAGTGTTGCTGTTGGTAATACTATAAAAACGTATGTTAAGAAACACCAAAGCTTTGTTAAACTAGAACCAGTACAAAGTGATAAATACATTAGACATCAGACTCCAACAAAATTTGGTCCTTCAACAAAAACTGTGGGACAAAAACAGAAACTGAATGCTCTTCTCCAAGTTGCTAGTGGTAAAGTAAGTCAGATGTCTCAAGCATCATCTCAAAATGAAATTAAGTCAACATACGAGCAGTTAATGAGCAGTTCCAATATACATATAAGGCGATTAAATGCGTTTGGCCAACAACGACCAAAACTCTGGTCCCATCGTGTTGATAGAAGGAATTTTGATAAGGGCAGTCTGCTCAGTAATATAAACATCACATCACATCAGAAAGTCGTAACAAAGGAAAATTTACCAAGAGAATGTAATATCAAGGAAGAGGACTCTAATATTTCAAGATATGAAGTTGATTCTCTTGAAGTACAGACTGTAGTTGTGAAAAATGTGAAAGAACTACCCTTTCAATGTGAAATGTGTGATAAATCTTTCAGGCAAGCAAGCAGTTTGGTGATACACCTCAAAGTCCATGCAGGAAAATATGCAGACAACTGTGTTATAAGTTAAAGAGTAAAATCGTGCAATATGTATATAAAAGTATGTGGTATTAAAGAAGGCTAATATATAGAATTCAAGAAATATGACATATTTATGTAGTTGTTATAATGAAATTGTATGTGTTCATATTAAAATATATGTATATATAATATGTGTATGTCATTTTGGATATTACTCTTAATATAAATATGTTTTTGTTTCTAACAAGATTGCAGAATACAGTTTGTGAACACACATTTATTACTAGTTTTGTTTTCATTGATATCCAAACTTTTTCCTAATATGACCACATTGTATAGTACTACGTTTAGAATTTGCAGATCAGTTGTCACTCACGTATCTTGAAAATTCATGTCTTTGTATTAACAGAACAGAGCTGTTTCTTTGGAGGCCAGTTTCCCCTGCTAATCATCATTCCACAATTGTGCATATTCACCCATTACTGCCCCCATGAGGTGTCACGAAGGTGCTGTTTTCTTACCTGGCACACTTAGCTGGTCTTGCAGAAAATAAAACAAATGTTGGTAAGATAAGTTGTGAGGTATATCTTTTCCAGTATTCCAGATAAAAATTCTAAGATAGTGACAATTTCATTGTAACATTAATAGCCCACCAGTGAAAGAATTTGAAACTGCGCAGGTTGTGGATCATTGGGACTTTAAAAACCACAAAACCTGTGAGTGGCCACAAGAAGCTGAGAAAGAGCGGAAAGGTTAGTCACCTATTTTACATCTGAATGTTGTTTTATTTGATATGAATGTTCATGATTTTCTTGTTATTGCTTACAGATATACTAGAAAAGGTAATTCATTGCATTCCTTTGTGGCACATTGAATTATTATTACTCTAAAAATCTAAAATGCTGAGGGTAAAGTACTCTCTGGCTTCTAGTTAAAAAAAAATTATAATATTTTATCAGATTTATACATTTAAACAGGAGACAGTAAAAGTATTTGGAGAAAATGTCATATTTCATAAGTTTAGTTTTCATGACACGTTTTAAAGTAATGTGTTGGGAGCAATGATTACGAACACTGTCATGTTAAGTGTAAACCTTAACAGGCTCATCAAATTATAAGGCCTATCATTGTATTATTTTACTAGAGTATCCAGTGTGAATTGCTATTTTACATTGATTGATGTTCACAGATGAGAATGTCAGCATTAATAACAGTTCATCTGTGGGAAAATAACTTGAAACATTCAAGTATATTCCTCTACAGAGGAAGAGTAAATTCTAAAATAAATGTCCCATTCTTCATAGCTAGGGACTTCCCCCCCCCCAAAAAAAAAAAATCAATGAGATTGTATCCTAGAGGAAACAGATTTACAAAAATAATTTTTACTTACAGGCTTTCAAGCGGAAACAGGAGAGCTGAAAAACATTTTATTCTTGGAAGACCAATTGAAACTACAGTTGACTTAGAAGCAACAATAATGCCTCTGTCCTTCAGAGTTTGAATTAATATTTCTCGTCTCCTGTAGGATCTGTCCACTCGCAAAATAAAAACGTGTCTCATTATAAATTTAATAACTTACGCAGTTAATCATGAAACTTGACAAACTACTGTTCAAATACATCTGAAATGATTGCTTAGTTAGGTACATACCTAAAAATTCCTTACACATCAAGGTCCATATGGCAGTGACTGTATATCTCTATACCTTGTATGTTGAATAATTTCTTTACGGCTCTTCACAAGCATCATAAGTCAAGATCCATCTTGAATTTCATTTACAAATTTGGTCCACTAACAAGAACAGAACATGGTGCAGCTGAATGGGTTCAACTTGTCAACAAATACAGTGACACCAACACACATGAATTCTATGCATAACAAGTAAGTTATATGTTAATGAATCAGACTCAGTTTGACTCCTTTTAATTTTTCATTATTAATGGTATTATGAACTGTGATAGTACAAGGTGAATTCAAAAAAGTAAGGGCAATATTTAAATATATTCATTGTATGATTGGCAACACTGCTGCCTAGTCATACTGCAGCTCAAGGTCAGACAGTGACACTGTTGGTGTGGTTCAGTTGTAGTCCAATTGTGAGGGGTGTGGCATTAAGGCGACTGCTCTGCTAGAGGTTTGCACCACGGACAAGCAACACTGAAGCAGTCTTGCAGCAATTTCCACAGTTTGCTAGATTCAGTGCTTGAGGCCACTCCGTGTTTTGTTCACTTCTGCATGTAAATGGGTGTCCTTACCTGTTTCTTCTGACTTTAAAGATTTTAATTCCCTCAGACACACACAAAAAACACTATTGCATGTTGCTTGTCCTTGGTGCAAACCTCTAGTGAAGCAGTTACCTTTATGCCGTACCGACTCAGCAAAAATGGACTAAAACTTAATCACAATCTAGTGTGTCACCATCTGACCCTGACCTACTGTATGTCCAGGCCTCACACTGTCACTAATCGTACAACAAAAATATTCCAATACTGCCACTACTTTTTGAATCTCAGACTTGATAACTGTATCCAACTCGTTACCAAACACCACTTCCAATATTTAAAAAAAATTCCAAATCAAAGTAGGAAAATACTTTTCTTATTAAGGTTAAAAAATTAATTTAATATACTTTTTCTTGTACTAATTACTTTCTATTGGTATTTTTGATTTAGTTCATTTGTTTAGCGACCATCTGTTCGTGTTAGGGTTTTTTTTTAAACATTTTAAGAATATTTTTAACCCTTTTCAGTTTTCACTTTTACCTTTCTTCATAGTTAATTTTACACAAAGTAAGGCACAGAACCACAAAGGCTTAGGGGTTCCTCTTCTACTTCAGGAACACAGAAGGGTTCAAAGATCAATCAGTTTGGGAAACACCGCATTAAAATAACTGTGTGATTGTTCCAAAGAATTAAATTATAAGAAGAAATAAATTAAACTGAATCAATTTTATTATTTTTTCATGTTTAAAAAAATATGTGAACCTTACAAAAGCAATACAACTATTTGGGAAAACCCTAATTTGCATCCTTATAAACGCGTTCTTGTAGGCACGTATTTTTACAAATATTTTAAACAGTTGAATTTCACAAGTAAATAAAATGAAGCCATATCAAAATTATTCTTTTACATATAATTACAACTACATATATATAAAGATACCATCTTTCCAAATAGTAGATAATTAGCAGACATGTAAAATAAGCAAACAAACTATTAACACTATAAATGACACTACTGTCATTTAAAGTGTTAATAGTTTGTTTACTTATTTTATATTCTAATACACTACACGGTATGCAAAGTTTTAAGATTAGCAGGCATGAGTATAAGATTCATTATTCATAAACAATTCAAAGTATTATAAGGATAACATTTTTGAGATACTGTCACGCATAGCAAAGTTAATTTACACTTAAAAGTGTGGAATGACTTGAACCTTCTAATGCCATAAAATAATTAGTTACAATACAAGAGTATGCTATAACCCATTCAACTCCTCTCTTTTAGTATAACTATAAAGCATCATAAACATTGATTAAAAGTATTTCCTACGTACACTCTGATGTAAATGCGAACTGCTAAAGCAGCTATGACAAATTATTTGCAAAACTTTGTACGATATTTGATGACGACTTCTACCAGCTTAGTAAGTTTTGTCCTCTATAAAAAAATATATATATGGCTGATCTTCCTTATTGCATTCTTTAATATTATATTCTGATATATGCAAACATCAAATTTAACAGAGTTAATGAGTTATTGCATACTCAAACATATTTTAATCTGACAATATTGTGATGATCATCCTTTCATTACACAAAATTTATAAGTAACCATTCCATTTTTAATAAAGGTTTGAAGCAAAAACAAGCAATACTTACACACCACCTAAAATACGGAAAGCAATAATGGCCGCACGGTGGTCAGACCAAGCTGGAATTATAACTTCAAAACTACAACCACAAATTTTATCAATGAACTCAGAATAAAACAGTATTATAAAAATAAAAGTCTTTGAAATTTTGAACATTACACAAACCGTGAAACGCGTAAAGAATATAATCAAGCTGTACTGAAGATTTAAAAATCTAATTTATACACATATCGAATATTTCAGAGAAGGGCATAAAATGTTATGTTATCCTTTCAGTCAGCTACAGGAACACACCAAGAAATTTGTACAGGTCTCAGGTATATAACATTCTGAAGTAAATACCATATGCATGTATGCCAAAGAACAAATAAGAAAAAGTAAAATAAAACCAGCGACAACTCTAACCAAACTGTCATTATCTGAAGATCTTCTGTCACAGCACGTTCCTTTAATTTCTAATATTAGGAACGTGACATGATGCATGCCATCACATTACATAAATCAGCAGATTACTAATGACAGTACATATTAAAATGAAGCTTCAAATTTCAATGTATCAACTGACCAAGACTGGTTTTATATTTCTCTGCTAGGCTCACTGTAACATCAATTACAGATAAAGAGGAAAAAGGACCCACCCCCAAAAAAGAATTCTATTAATACACTTTGACTTCACCAAATATTAACACATTCACTGCTGTGTGATACAACTGAAACCCACTATCTTATCAATTACTTTTTATTACACCTAACAAAGATAAGTGATAAAAAAAATCTGTTTATCACCATTCTCATTTCCACAATGTTCTTTTTTTGGAAAAATTTTAAGCAGTCGGCTTGCAAACCCAGATCGTATACTCTGCATAAGTTTTGTTACAGACTCTCCCTTTATACTGTAATAATTTCAATGTTCCATCAAAGAAAATGACAATAAATGTACACAAATATGAGACAACATGGTCAGAGACGGTGGCAAACAAGAAAGGATACGTCACACAACATAATCAATAATAAAGCAGTTAAATTACAAAGCATGTGAAAATCAATTTTCCAACTACCAGGAACTTTCTTTTGTTCAGAGGATGAAATTAAATATTTTGAATATTTCAATTATATACATCATAAATATGCAAATTTCTGTATTTACCCAATATGCCAAATAAGTAATTACACTACATGAAGAAACACACGACACAGCTATGCTTTAACATCACTGCCTAATCTGTTAATTTGTTGCATGAAGAATGTGGTTTAAAAACTAATTTATTACGTGCTTAAAACAGACAACAAATTGGTACATTAGCTTCATTTTCTTAATGTGAATACTTCTGCTACTTGTAGAAAAATTACTTATACTTGGTTATGTACTCTTTCAGCGTATCAGCGTTTGCACCAGAAAAGGCATCAAGCTAAAAATAGAAAGAGATTACTATAGTAGCTAAAATGGAACAGAAATATGGAATTTCCTAATGTATCAAGGAAACATATAAAAACTGAATGCTGGGTTCCTATTTTAAGCGGGGTCACTTGTTACCACAGCATGGCACATCCTCAGTTTGAAGATGAAAGAGGTCAACAGATATAGAGGGTAGCTGTGAATATACCGGGTCTACAATTTATGCTGTAACGGCCTTGCTTGCATTGCGTGCTCGGCCGAGTGCACCGTTGGTGTGGGAGAGAGATAGCGCGTTCTTCCCGTGAGTCACAGGCGAATCAGTTTCAGTGCCGCTAGTAACCGCGAACTACGAATATTTCTCGTCACTAACACATGTTATTACATTAATTTTCTTACCTTAAATCACAAAAGATGTTCAAAGTGACTTCCTTGTGCTTGCAGGCAAGCTTCACATCTCGTTAACATGTTTCGAAATACTTGACGAAGCTCTTCTTGGGAAATTGCCGAAATGAATTGTGGTTTCCTGTTCTTCTTTTTATTCAAAACTGATCCCGTACTACAAATTTTTTTTATTAATCTCTCTATCGTGGGCCTGCTAGGAACACTTTCACCGGGAAAATGTCTGCGATATTTACGACGACATCTTCCGTAGGATGAATATTTGGCATATGTTTCGACTAAGAACACACGTTGCTTAATACTATACACCATATTATCAACGTCAATCCGCGACGAGAGACGCAATGAAACTGATTCGCCGGTGACTCACGGCAAGAACGCGCTATCTCTCTCCCACACCAACGGTGCACCCGGCCGAGCACGCAATGCAAGCAAGGCCGTTACAGCATAAATTGTAGACCCGGTATTTATATGTTTGCATTTTTTACGGGTACTCAATGGACATGAAATTCACAACTTCAAAATAAAGAGTTCTTATATAACAGGTAAAACACATCATAACAATTCTGTTTAATATAGCTCAAAATTCTGATTCACTTCCAATTAGTTACAGAAAATTATTGACTCTAATAATATAGTACAATCTATTCTTTTCATGACAAACAACAAATATGATTTGAACCACTTAATTCCTCCATTCTAAATACATGTGGAACGTTGCATAAAGGGGGTTAACTTTTAAGTATTTATGCATGCAACATCAAATTACTTCATGCATTTTTTTTTTTTGGGGGGGGGGGGGCCGGGGAAAATCCGGTGAAAACTAAGCACTCATTTTAAGAAACTCTTCTTTTATGTAATTGTATTGCCCATAAACTATCTGGGAATATGTAAGAATGTGAAAACAGATGGGTCATAAACATGAAATTCTTACCTTCTCCTGGTTCTTCACAAAAACAAATGTGGGCATTGCAGAGATTTCATAATGAGAAGCTAGGTCCTCACATTCGTCTACATCTACCTTAAGGAAAACAACACCTGGATTCTCTGTAGCAAGTTCCTGTCAATACAATCACAGTTTAGCAAAACTTCATAAATTTTCTGCCTGTAACTTAAATTTCATTTAAATATCCTGCTACAAAATTTATATTGTAATGACAACATTCACAAAAATAAAACAAAACAAAAAGTAGTGCATCAGAGACATAATTAATTCACCCAACGGTCCTAACACATGGAAAGCCTCAACTTGTGAAAACAATGCCAGACTATGACCACCTACAAGCAAGATAACACATACATAGTAGCCATATTTAAAGATTCAGAAGTTACAATTAATTTTCAGCAGCTAACAATTTAAAGCTGCATAAGGAATAACTACGAACAAATCCAATTATACAAGCTGATCACTTGTTCAAGAATACACTGAATGAAACATTCTAAAAAATCAAATTTGGTGTTCTAGTAGAGTGAGATACCAGTTGGCAAATAAACTTCAGAAGTGACATTATGGGGTTGGATTTTATTATTGAAGACAAGGTTTGAACTCTAAAATGAGTAAAGAGACCAAAATAATTTTTGGGTCCATACTTTGAGTTTCATATAAAATTGTAATCCAGTCACTTAATATGTAATACATACCTCAATTTTGGGTCCAATAACTTTACATGGACCACACCACTTTGCAAAGAAGTCTATCACAACCAGGGCATCACCCGCTTCTTTAATCTTGGTATCAAATTCTTTCTGAAATGATTAAAACTTTTCTTAGCAATGCAACAACATATGGTCCAATATCATAAGCACCTCCCTTGTCATGATTAGCGAAATTATTTAAAAATCCATTCTAACATGCCACCCTTGCATATATTCTGCAGCTGTAGTTTCCAGTGCACGATGAAAATAAATTCAATCTATAGAGCCAATATCGGTTTGCCTAAAAATGTCGTCACAACGTGAGAGAATAAATCAACATATCAAAAAATCCCTGCATTCATCAATAAATCCACAATCTTATCTCTTAAACTTTGAAGTCTTCACTTTCATCTTCGTCATTGTGAATTTTACAAGAGTAACACAAAAAAACTCAAGGCCAAATTACATGAATTAACAATTACTGTATGGAATATTTCGCAATACATTTTAAACCCATGTTCTGACCATGTGGCTCAGCACTTTTCGCATTCTGTACAGAACAGACTACGATCCAACTTCATCGCTTACGTGGTAATATGCTTACCCAATCCTTAATGTGAATTGCCATTCTTCTCAGTTAAAGTAAGTAAATACCCTAAAGCTGTAAGGGAATATGCGTTAAACAAGTGAATTTATTCTACGCTTGATAAAGACTTAAATACCCTGCCACCCAACCTTCCTAGTAACTCAAACAGCACCACTCAACTAACAACCGCTATCTTAAAACACCTACTGCAACGCCATGAACAACACAGCAGTGCTCGTAAGAAATATCTCACAGATGATACCATCTGCAGGACTACGTGAATCAGTAAAATTTCATTTCCCGTAGCTGGTAACATCGTTGAGCAAACATTTCCAATAGATTGCGCAATAAAATATTGTGAAATGTGCAGGAATGAATTTATCCGTAAAGCAGCCTTCAAGATATAATTTCATTTCATGCCAGATAATCTATGCATGGTTCGGGAGGATCTATTTTTACTATAAAAATTTGTGATTAGTCGTTGTCTTCAACCAATTTGTCGTCAAAAAATGACGTCATCAACAATGTCAACAGATATTTGTTTACACGGCATTGTTGTGTTCCACAACAATGCCGAGTAAACAAATAACGCTTCACAACAAAAGAAATCAAAGAATATCAAGTCAGTCGCATTATCACTGCTCCAGAAACAGCACGTCGCATTCTTAAGAATTGACTAACAGTTGTCCTAAAACATCAGGAAAGTGAAAGAAGACGTTATCAAGTATTTGAAGTACCAACTCCAACAAGGTAAACTGATACTCATACGATATATTACGATTACGAAAACTATTATGAAAACTGAATTTATGATCGATTTTAAGACGAAGATTTGCAGGGGTGGGGCTGGCGCATTTGATTCCCGGCGTCAATTTCTTTCGTAGCTTCATATAATACCAAACGCTTTGCCGTAACAAAGACGGTTAGACGTCGGATTTTCCACCCCCAAAGGCCCAGGTTCGTGACCCGGTTCATGTGGACATTGTTGAAAAGTATCGAATTTACTGAAATGAAACTTTCATATTTTACAAAGATACAAGACTTTCCTAGGTTTTCCTGTAACGGTAAATATCGCAAAGTAATTTTCTTGGAAGTTTGCACAGAATAGGCGGTGACGCGTTATTGAACACGCCCAAAATACCACGTGTATCGTCGTCACAAGGAAGTTAACATAGATATTACATTTTAAAGTTTACATAAACTTATTGTACAGCCAAAATTTTTGTGTGCTAACTAACACAATGTTTTGAAATTTTCACTTCCCTTGCTAAGAATTATAAGATATTGATTTTAGAGTAGTTTTGACACCAGGCTGGCAACAGAGCATCGTTGAGTCTGTCTAAACATGGCAGACGACGATTTGGAGTATTATATTAAGTTCCCTTCTCCAACCTTAAAAGAGTCCACACCTACCAGTGAAACGGAGGAGTTTGTGTTTGTTTATGATGAAGATAACTTGCCCGTGATAATGCTGTTAGGATGGGCAGGTTGTCAAGACAAATACCTTTCCAAATACAGTGTTATATACGAAGAAAGAGGGTACGGAAATTGTTGTTGTCCTGTGTCCTACTGACGTGTTTAAATGTTTGCAGATCTCACACGTATACTTCATTGGATAATTTTACGTAAAACGCTTTGTGATGTCAAGAGTTTCCATAGGGATTCAACTTTGCAGCTTGTTTGAAAGGGTTCACTGTCATAAGAATGCCGGCAAAAAGTTTATTGTTAAAGATCAGTCAGTTAAAACGAGGCTTTAGTTGTTGTACAAGATTAATTTATTTGCCTGCCACAGTGATCTGTAGTCTGAGGTGCACAAGGTTTTGGACCAGCATAAAAATGTGATCGCGTATCGAATTCCTCTCCAGGCACATGTGTATGTGAACTTTTTTATAAGCCTAATTTCCATTCATAAGGAGTCGAGTTCGAGCTGAACACATAAGCCTTGTAATTTCTTGTACAGACTTTCATTTTCCATGTTGGCTTTCTGGTCAAGAAGATTAAGTTTGAACCCATCTATTAAACTTTAGAAACGATTTTGAGTATTTAAATACATGCTCTTATAATTTAAACTCAGGCTGTGAACAACATAAAATTTCCCCAGATGATGTAAATTCAAAACATTAAAAAACATGTAGGGTTTATGTAAATACACATTTTAAACAGTTGTGTTTGACATGCACATTATTTATAAAGCAACAGTTTATACAGTTGGTATAAAAATAATTAAAATTGTGTATGGCAACAGAACTTTGAAAAAACCTAATTTTATTATGGTCATTATTTTACAGATGTAAAACAATGTGGTAGCCATGAAAGAAATTCAGTTTAGCTTTCAGATGACAGTGATAACTTGGATTATGAACCTTTATATGAATATACTGTTTATGATGGTGCAAAACTTATGTCTAACAAATGTATCAGAGATAGAATTTGTGCTTAATAAGTTATTTCTGAAAAGAAAATTACTACTGCTACTATGACAATCTGTAACATATTTGCATGACAAGTTTCTAAACGAGTTAATTTATTTATTACATATTACAGATGTCCCATTCAACACCTGAACTAGAAAATAATTAATAAATAATTACTTGTTGAACAGATGTATTACTGTCCGCTACACAGCACCAGTTGATTGCTTATTTTGGAGGCGAGGACGTATGCACCAACTAGGACATAGACTTGTGGAGCTTATCACTGATATGAGTTTAGAAGAACATCCTATATTCTTCCATGTCTTCTCTAATGGGGGAGCATTCCTCTACCAGCATGTCAGCCAGGCAATTCAGATGCGTAGCAAGCCATTGAAGGTATACACTACTAATTAACTCTATGGAGCAGAGTCCATTTTGAGAAGCTAATAATATTGTAGTTTTTTGTACGCCTCATCTTTCTTCTTCCATCTTGAGACACCACCTAACAAAAGAGAAGTAACAAGTCTAATATCTGGAAATCCCAGAAGCATGACATTTATATAAGATTTTATGAAATTGATTGATATATGGACAGAAGTTATTGCTTTATAAGACATATTTCCTGTTATGGGGATAAGGCTAAAACTAATTTGAACCAATTATTTAAACAGCTGTTATAGGAACTGATTTGTAAACAAATTTGAAGACCTTTGATAACCAGTTTGAATTTAACTGGGTTATTTTTTATATTTTGGACTCGGTGCAAGACATGCTTTGTCAGAAAACGTCTTGGTGATTCCACTCCTAATTTTAATACGTCTAAAAGAAAACCTTATATTACAGGTGAAAGGTGTGATATTTGACAGTGCCCCAGGCAAGAGGCGGATAATGTCTCTGTTCCGAGCACTAACAGTAATCATCGGTGGTCCCGCATACTTTAATATTCCAGCTGCTGTTCTTATTACAGCATTCCTTGCTGTCGTATGGTTGTTTGAAGTTATAGCTCGTTCACTCAAGGAGAGGAAGCCATTGCAGACGGATCCAATTGATTTAGTTGAGGAACCCTTTAATTGGCCTCAGCTGTTTCTCTACTCAACTACAGACAAACTGATTAAATATGAGGTGAGACAAATTATAATAAGCAACAAAGCATTGAATTATACAGAATATCTGTCTGTATTAAATGTTTAGTGTCATGGTACACCATTGCATCTCGGCAGCAAATACTGAATGTCGCAAGTACCGGATACTGTACGTAGAGAAATATAGTCTGGGCCATTTCTAAATCGTAGGCTTCACAAATATTGTATCCTTGCAGACGTGGGGGTTTCACTGGACCCCAAACAAATTTCAGTTAAAAGTTGTTAAATTATCCTTTTTTATCATTAGCAGTTTTGTTTAGTGATACAGAACGTCACTGGGTATCAAAACTTAACCCCACACTCCTCTCTCAGAATTCACAAAAATCTGATCTACCAGGTATTTTGGGGTAACTACTGTTGATATTATTAAAACATGTAATGATATGGGGGTATAGTTTAACATACACTTGATTTCAGTTCAAGGACAACAGCTTCTTGGTAAGATCAATTTTACAGAACCTCCGTATTATTTGGATGATAGGAATGATGAAAAATGCACAGATTCATCCATACAGTTTTTGGATTCAAACATTTGACCCCCATGTTCACAGCTTTCAAGATCACATGTGCCTTAAACTGTGAGCCACTGGGATCTGCTGACTTCATATAATTTTCTGCAATACTAGAACTGTCGATATTTAAGGCATCAGGAATGTATTTTAGAATAAAATAACTCTGCTGCCACCCACAGGACCAACTTATTTCCCTTTTTCAGGATATTGAAAAATTCGCAGAGCGTCGGCGTGAAAGAGGAGTAAATGTATCGACAGTTCGGTTTGATGACTCGCCTCACGTCAAACATTTTTCTGTACATCGAGAAACTTATATAAATACAGTATGCAGCTTCCTTCACTCGTGTCTGTCAGGTATGTTGCAGCCCCTGTAATAACAACCAGGTTGTACAGTTTTTACTCAGTTATTTATTTGTTAAAGTTAACATTTCCTGAACTGAAAACTGGTGAAAGGATCTGGTCAAATTTGTTCAGCATGTTTATGTTACTGATGGTAGAAAGTTAGAATGTAGGATGCCATCAAATGGCACTATGTTCATACCAAGTTTTATGAGACTCAAATTTCAGGTTTTCCCATGGCACTATGAAGATAGCTGTCTTCTTGGTTGTTGTGCCATGTAATCTTACGGAAGTTTACCAATGTTTCAGAGGTGCTCAGTAAACTTATACCAGACTGCATGGTGCAACAACCCAGAAGATGGCCATCTTTGTTCATGAGATTGGTTCAAAAGGTTTCCAAAAGTAGATATGCTGTTAATATGCTTTATTATTTAAATGGAAATCAATTTGTTAAGAAGAGTAAGATTTGAGGTTTTCACAGCGGTGAGTGTGAAGATTTCTGTCTTCTGGGTTGTTGCGCTGTGTAGTCTGGTAGATTTCCACTGTTTCAGAGGCCATACTGCCTCTGACATTCATCGCCCTGATGACTGAGGCAGTATGACCTCTGAAATGTTGGTGGAAATGTACCAGACTACATGGCACAATCACCCAGAAGACACCAATCTTCTTGTTAAGAAGAGGCTTAGGCTATAAGGAGTTTTACTGTTTGTTTCAGAAGTGGGTGACAGTTCAGTAAAAACTTCTGACCAGCCCAAGAGTGAAGCCGACCCATCTGCAACACCTTCAACATCCCTGAAACTTGCAGTGGCAGAACCTACCAAATTAGTGAAATCTGAGTGATGTAATAGTAACTAACCCATTTTTAAGTTTGGGCAGGTTTATGAAGTAATGTTTTTAACTGATTCAAGTTGAATCCCGTAAAGGGATTTCAAATATCAATAACATATTGTTTTGACCTTGAAAATTTTTGATTTTATAATCATTTCTTTTCAGCCAAATTTAACCTTTTTTTGGAGCTAATTCATACATATTTAGATGAGGCTGAAAGTCTAAATCTTAGCAAAGTATTACAGAAAAGAATATGTACAACATTTATGCTACACATTGTTTATCTTCATTTATAAATGCCTTGATTCCTGTGATTTAGCAATTACATGGTGGTTCAGGTAGTTGTTTTATTGTCAAATGTTAACATATGCTGTATACTGCATATTATAATGCTTTTTTGAACATATTCAGACTTTGCATGTTAAAATCAGTCATTCCAACATAGTACAGTATTATGTAGGAAACCCTAGTCATGTCATGGAACATTAAGAAGTCAATTATAATTTGGCTATTTGTAATCTGTAGATGCTCATCTACATGTGGTAAACACGCTGTTGTAATAATAGTCATTAGTTCTAAGGTACCCCTATATCAGCTTATATAAAAGACTGCAAAGTGATTTCTGACATTTTGCTGCAAGAAATGCATGGCTGACACTTTTGAATATAGTAATTTAAAATGGCTATTTATATGCTGTTGTGTAACTTCATATATTCTATAATCAGTCTTAAGTATGAAGACTGAAATGTTGAACACATTAAAATGTAAATACTATGTTAGTTTTAACCAAAATTGAAAAATGTTTTAGTCATAAACATGTGATATAAGAAATTGCTTGCTTATATAATTAGTTTAGTTTATTTTTTATTATTATTTACGTATTTAACTGAAACATGCTAGGGGGTATATAGATTAGTTGCAGTGTAGAAAGTGTAACTATTCACTGCTGTTTTAGTCATAAACATGTGATATATGCATTTACTTATTTAATTAGCTTATTTTATTTTTTATTATTCAGGTCACGAATATTATTTTATTATGTCTTACAACAAATCTACTGCAAAGATGAATATTGTAATGATTACACGTGATCAGTATTAAGTCCACATTTTAATGCTTCTAATGATGCATTTTAATTTTGATTATATTTATATATAATGAATATGTAATTATACATAACTAACTCCCAGGTAGCAGAACCTTCAGGTCCAACACGTAAGCCCGCCAACGGACACGATCCGGAGCCAACTCCATCTAGTTGGTAATTGTACATACACCATTGGTCAGCACATTAAAAGAGACCTATTAAACTGTTATAGGTAGTGGGTCAAAAGGTGATAGAAACATGAGCCATTCACATGCCTAAAATAATTTCAACCTTTGGAGAATCTGTAATCTGGATGGAAGGGTCATTGTTCCTGAGATCACACGAAATTTTCTCTTATTTTGTTTTATCCATAGGAATGTTTTATATACTTGTACAGTTTCTGCTCAAACTAGAATTAATTTTAAGTAGGTGTATTATGTTTCAACATTGTTTCAATGTTTTGAGTTAGCGTGGAACACCATGTTTACTCTGATATAAGATGAATCTTTTCTGTTTCAGAATCAGAACAAAAGCAAAAGACATCACCTGCAAAGCACTGTGATTTAAAATTAACATATTAAAGTTATTTCAATGCATCTGTTAATTGAAATGACAGATGATCACACTATAAAGCAACGTTACTTAATAGAATGGTCTGTATTAGTGGGGCTGGCTCCTACAGAGAAGGGGTGGATTTTGGTGTGAAAAGTGATGGTGGTCTTAAGTTCCAATATGAGGAATTTTAGATTGTTTCAGTGTCTTAGTAGTCTCCCCGCTTTTCGTCTATACCGCCGTAGATTAGAGCTGGTTCTGCACTGAGACATCCTCTTCCCTTGCATCTAAATATAAATTTGTGGCAATGCACTTTACTGACTCCACTGTAATGTAATGTTCTTTCCTCATAATGCAACCCAAAATGACACAAATGTTAGTTAACGTGAATATGATATGCAATTCAATAGTCCTGCCTTTTTGTGCTTCAGCTAATTCTAATAGTCTGTGTTACCCTTAACGACAATTGACTGAAATTTGTTTTAATTTTATTTTTTACAATATGTAAAATGTTACTGCTCAAAATGTGTTAACGTGTACTTAAAATATTTTGATTGAGTGGAAAAATAAATCCATCCAAACACAGCATAACCACTGGAATTTTTTTGTGTAAATATCCAAGTAGCATATCTCATTTTAAAGAACATTGAATGGATTTCTTTCTGACACTAAACTTAATTAATTTGTTTATATAAATTTAACAATGTCTTACTTATCTGTGCAGTTTAATAGCATAAAATGTGACAATGATATTCAGTGATGATTTGGCAAGGAAGTGGATGTGGCCTATTTTAAGCTACTAGCCCAACACATGCCTGGAGGGATAAAGGGCAGTTATCAAAAACATGATAGCTGGCCTGTCAGACATGAACTAACCCCGGGGATTTTCCAAGGATGAAGGAATAGTGCTCAGCACTCGACCACAAACTTTTAGTTCATTTGCTGTGTAGCTGTGGTGTGAAAATATCTAAGAGCATCAAAGCACCCATCATGAACTTGTTTAGTAAGATGAGTATTCTTAAAAAGAATACCAAAATATTTTCCCACTGA